GAAAGTGCTTAAAATGTTATTTAGATCTCACAGGTCAGAATAGTTTCATGTTTGACGCTATTTAACCGCTTTAATTCCGAAATAATGTAGTGAATATGGTTGTTTATACTTGAACCATGCGTTTTAAATTCCGTTGAATGTTTGAATTTGCCGCGTCGATTTGTATAAAAAAAGATACGAAATTTCGATTTCTAGCAAGGGAAGAATAAATAAAATATGAATTCGAATCCATTATTGTGAATTCTATACTAAATTACCCACAATTGTAACAATTTAGCAATAATTGTCTTTGGCATAATTTGGCACTTTGCTAGATGCATAGACCTTTGTCAAAGTATATGAAATAATACAATAATTAAACAAATTAAAGATATATATGTTAATAACATTTTAATACTTCAATAAGGATTGGAATTACAGAAGAATTACAGCATTTAATGTGATATTTTCTGTGTATTGATCTTCAATACCCATTAAGCTGCAATGCATGTGCCCAAAATGTACCCTGCTAATCTATTATTGCATTATTACTCTGTCCAATGACAATGAGAGTGCATCTTGCAATTAGCTCTTTTATTAATTCTCTTTAATTAATGGGTCAATGAGCTTAATTCAGTATATATATATATATATATATATATATATAGATTGATATATCTGTAAAGCTTCAAGATGCACTGGTGCCGATTGAGACAAAGCCTTCATATATTTTTGTATTAAATATTGCAGCTGAGTTATAGCCTGGCCCCAAATATTGTTCTCAACAGTTGGATATTTATTTATTCATTTATTTAACTTTGCCAAGTAACATTGAACATTTAACAGTATATTTACGAAAACATATAATATGTTTTCTATTGGCAGGATGTATGCTACAGTTTTCATTTATACATTGGGCCACAACGTAGCACAGCTTAATGGGTTAACCAAAAATGTTTTTTACTTGTCTAACGCTGGGCGATTTACTCGTAAATGGGGAGGCTCTGCAGCTTAATGGGTTAATTAGTGCGTTATATGATGAAGATGACATACGCCATCAGCTAATTGTGGTCCACAAGCCAGAAAAATCAGTCCGGATCTTGTAAAGTGTAAACACCTCTAAACAGGGCCATGCTATATTGATCTACATGTCTTTAATTGAGTTAAAAATTTTAATTAAAAGTAAATTTAATTTTATTTAAAATGGTAAACTAGACATATAGTCATGCAGATGGCTTGATTAATCCAATAACGTCCAAGACTCTTCCCTTGACAAGTAAAATCATTGTTGTTAAACAGAGTAAATACTAACGTGGGGCATATGGGGGTATTTCGCATTATAGGGTTAACCCGTTGAGCAAAACTGCTCTCCTCTTGAAGAGTAAAGTTGTCTGGTTACCCTGGCAGTCCACGCAATTTTGATAAATCTTCGGAGGCAAAAAATTGCCGCCGATATTTCGAAGTTCAGCGGCAGTTCGGGGGCAATTTTTTTTGTCACTATAAATTGACATGTACACTTTGTGAAAACAGAATTATTTTATATTTAGTATTCTCTTGACTCTACTAATTAAAAGTGTTTGATATTCAAGGAAACCCTGTTTCACACACAAAAACATTGAGACCAGCTATCAATCTTTTAGTTTTAACTTTGTTACACTACGGACATTGTTCTAAAATTATATGTATGTTTGAACTTGAAGTTACATGAAGTATATCATGAACTTTCGATGTATTTTAAAATAAGTAACAAAATAAATTTAAAGTTTTCATAAAAAATAGCTCACTTTCTCGAATTATTTTCTATTCATATGTTCATACTTGGAAGAATTAATTGAATTGAGAAGGCAGTGAAGCATCATCATAGGCATCATCAATGACACAAAATTCGTCGGCGGCAAAAAATTGCCGCCGATAATTTAATCTTCGGCTACATTACCGGCAGCAATTGCCCTTTGCCGTCGAAAACTGCGAGGACTGACTTGGTGTTAGAGACAGAGTAAGATAATAAAGTAGGATGCAATGAAACTTAATGGATAAAATTTACTCAATTTTCATTTTCAGTAATGCCATGCCTAACAGATATAGTGTCTGACTTGCAAGAGCCAGTAAGGCTCTTGAAAAATGGGCAGTGTTCTTCTTGAAGACCATGCATCAATGATGACCACAAGGATTAACAGTGATGAGACAAATGATTAACACAAGGATTAACAACATTGTGACAAGTAGAAAAGGCAAAACAGAAAGCATCTGCACAAAACAGTAACATTAACACTTATTTTGAACCAATCCTGGATGCATTTGTTCATACTTAATATGGAAATCCAGGCAGACCGAAATATTTGCAAAGTTTATATAAGTGATAATAAATTTAATAAATTAATAAATAATAAATTTGTTGTAATTGTTGCCAACTTGCGAGTTGCCAGCTTGCTTGGGCCAGTTGTATAAAGGTCTTACAATGACCATCAAATTTAAACACCCATTTCCTAGTTGAATGATAGCTATAAACACATAATTCTGATTGCTTAACTAGCCGTTCCGCTAACTATTAGTTATTAAAGGACATTGGCAATAAAAAAATTAGTTTAGTTCATTTGAAAGAACTCTTAAAACTATATATTAAACTCTATTACAGATTGTTTATATCTTGCTTAGTTTTCAAAATATTTCGACTGAAAAAAGTGAGCTGTTCGCCATTTTGGATTATTGAGGATATGCATGTTACGTCAAGAGAGGGCTCACGCTAATTTTTTATCTTGAGAGTAACCGATTAATATGGGTCTAAACAAGGGAGCACGCCAGAAATATTTGTGTAAATTTATACTAACCTTTTAATTAGATGTAAATGTTTTCAATATTCATCGGGCGCCATTTTGAATGTTGAAAGCGGTATATATTATTAGCTTATCGCAGGCGCAATAATTTATGTTCATCTTTGATATTAATTTATGTTACACGATGATACTCCGAAGGGCGACCGAGAAAAATCCGAAATTTAAAATAAGACGGTCAAATAATAAAAAATGAAGAGGGGAGTGAAACGGCCGAACTATTATCCACTGATGCTGGTTGACTGTTGCTAGGAACATTTGATGTTGCTAGGAACAAACCGGAAACAAAATGAGACCTACTATTACGGGAACCACGGAGTATTTTAATATAATATAGAACAACGGTAACTCCGAAAATAAAGTTTTTTTATTATTTTCGGATTTACCGTTGTTTTATATTTGACCTACTATAATTTAGTTCAAGCGAATCACATTAGAATATATTATTAAAATTGGGGACAATGGCGAGAGTTTGTATATCAGATAAACATCGGCTGCTCATGTTTTAACATGCTTAAAAGACGACCCATCATATGAGTTCATTGGCGAAGTAATTTTAAAAATAAACATTGTCTAAGCCGAGAAAATCGAAGCTGAAGTTTATGTAAATGAGGACAATTTACAAATCTATTATCCGATCGATTTACATACATTGATTAAACATTCATTTCTTTTGAATTTCCTTCATGAGTTATTAATACTGTATTTTGTGTCCAGCATTCGCTTATGTTTTTGTTTCTCTGCTGTCGAAAATTCACTGCTGGCGAGCAACGATGCAAATCAATACAAATTTTGATAGATTTCAGATTCGACAGTTCTTGGTCAACGAGCATGGCCAGATAACGAAATTGAATATACGCATTGTCATTGGCCAATACCCCATGACGTATTCGGCCGTTTCACTCCTCTCTTTATTTTTTATTATTTCTCCGCCTTATTTTAAATTTCGGGTCTTTCTCGGTCGCCCTTCGGAGTATCATCGTGTAACATAAATTAATGTCAAAGATGAACATAAATTAATGCGCCTGCGATAGGCTAATAATATACAGGGTGTATAAAAAAAACTGAACAGATTTAAAATTGCTCTCAATTTCGCAAAACAGCTATTTGTATCCGGTTTTTTATATATATAGCCTCCTTGGGTGCTTATAATGAAGAATAATGAGAAAAATTTCTTGAACTCAAATTTTGTGAACCAGGGGGGGTGTCTTTTCCAACAAACTAAAAATGGCTCGCGCACAAAATTTAAAAGCTGCAATCATATTTTAAGTTAACAGATGGAAAATTTGTCGGGATTTTAATTACTGTACAAAATTTCAGACAATTTGGTTTAGTTTAAGCCCCTTAACTATTCACGCAAAGTTACAATTTTCCCGAAAAATCAGCTATTTGCATGCTTAATTAATGCATTTGCCTAATTTGCATATGTCAGCAATATGCAAATTAGGTAAAGGCATTAATTAAGCATGCGAAAGGCTGACTTTTTAGAACAAAATGAATAGTTAAAGGGCTTACACTAAACCAAATTGTTTGAAATTTTGTACAGTAATTAAAAACCCAACAAATTTTCAATCTATTAACTCAAAATATTATCACAGCTTTTAAATTTTGTGCGCGAGCCATTTTTAATTTGTTGGAAAAGACACCCCCCCCCCTGGTTCACAAAAATTGAGTTCGAGAAATTTTTTTCATTATTTTACATTATAAGTACCCAAAGAAGCTATATATATAAAAAAACAGATACAAATAGGTGTTTTGCGAAATTGAGAGCAATTTCAAATCTGTTCAGTTTTTTTTTATACACCCTGTATACCGCTTCCAACATTCAAAATGGCGCCCGATGAAAATTGAAAACATTTACATGTAATTAAAAGGTTGTATAAATTTACACAAACATTTCTAGCGTGCTCCCTTGGTCTAAAACGTCGTTTCTGGTTACTGTCTGAAATTTAGAAATGATTAAAAACATTTCAAACAATTGTTACTCGGTCATTTTAGAGTAGTTTTATATGGTCAACCCAACTCCTGACGTCATCAAAACCATAGTTAATGAGGTAAAGAATTTTTCCAAAATGGCGAAAAGCTCATTAATTTCGGCCTAAATATTTCTAGAAGTAGGCAAGATATGACAAATCGGTAACACAGTT